CGCTTTGTTTGGTTGTTATGAAACTGTAACAGGGCTGATAGCATTTGCTTTGTTTGGTTGTTACGAAACTGTAACAGGGCTGATATCATTCGCTTTGTTTGGTTGTTATGAAACTGTAACAGGGCTGATAGCATTTGCTTTGTTTGGTTGTTACGAAACTGTAACAGGGCTGATATCATTCGCTTTGTTTGGTTGTTATGAAACTGTAACAGGGCTGATAGCATTNGCTTTGTTTGGTTGTTACGAAACTGTAACAGGGCTGATATCATTCGCTTTGTTTGGTTGTTATGAAACTGTAACAGGGCTGATAGCATTCACTTTTACGGTGTTACGAAACTGTAACAGGGCCGACAGCATTCGCTTTATGTGCTGATCCGAATCTGTAATAGGGCGGATAGCATTCACATTGTGTGTTTATCTGAAACAACCATCCACTCCAAATCTGTAAGGGACTTTCTTGAAAGGGAAGGACTTTTATTTTATAGCCCAAAACTCTTTGAGACACTTTTATTAGCCATCTATGAAGAAATGGACCTTCGGGACCCAACATAAATTTTGTGACAATGTCTGGGCATTGACAAGTTCCTGATACGTTCTGGAATGTCTCAGCTAAAAACAATATCTTATCAACAAAACCTTACGACAGAACAGCTCCTTGGTCCTCCTAATCCTATTGTGTACCTGCTGGCCTCGTCTCCATGTCCCCAGCCTCCAAACTATTTCTGGAGTTACGTCTTCTATTCTCTCACTCCTACAAATGTAGCTGTGCTGAAATTTAATAATGGTGTGCTCTGTAAATCCTCTGGAATATAAATTCCATCAATCTTCCCTAGGGGGTCGATGGATCTGCTATTCTTTGCACCATCTTGGGCTAATGGCCATACTGGAGCCTTCGGAATGAATTCCATTGTGTCCAAAAAGCTGGAGACAACTTGACACTGGTTGTATGATGAAAGCGCGATGAATCTTGCACATAAGAGAGTTTTGCAACAAGTAGGTGAATGTGATTGGATTATAACCATAAATTCTTCCTCTCATTTTTTCGTAGTGGGGAGAGGCACCCAAGTCGGTAATGGTCGCATCTGAATTCTGGATTTCTGGGACAGTGCTTCAGGGTGGGAAGTAGCAGGATTTATCTCCCTGTCAGCACATATCCTGAAGAAGCAAAATGTAACAGATGGGAGGACGCTTGCAGCCGATACCCCACGCCTGCTAAATAGCAGGCTTCTCAATAGACACCCTTACCTGTCCTTGGCTTCCACACATAAATCGTCAAAAGGCCCTCAAAATTGATAGCTGTTCCCGGAATTCACCAATCCAGCCTCTGTGGTTCGTAAGCACCCACCTGCTGCTGGTTTTAACATTAAAGGGGGTCAGGTGATGTTTCATGAGAGGAGACCAGGTGGGATGAGGCCAAGACGAATCTGACTAATCGACAAGCAGCCTGTAGGTCTCCTGGCCACAAACCTTGTCAAGGCAACATACATGGCTTCCTGTCACACACATACTAAGCTCAATGACCCACAAACCAACTTTCTTGATGGTCAAAGCTGTCCTGTTGACACCCAATTCCCAGTGAGACATCAAATGCCCCTGTGGAAAATGGTTCGGATAAAACTGAAGAAATACACACCCCTTGCTGGTATGGGCAACACCTTTCTGCATCTGTGTTTCTATGAGGTAGACTGGTAAAACTGGCTAGCGTCTCCTCAACAAATTTCAGCTATGAATTGCGAAGACAGTCCTCCTGCAGTCACACCATGATGAAGAGGGGCAGAAACACAATTTCCAATTTACAGGCTGCCCTCGTTTTTTTGCCTGATGCTGATGTTATCTTTGGGTGGAGCCCAGATTGCTCCCCTGAGCTGACCTATCATAATGAGCCTTGCAAGCCCTACGTAGGATTATTTAGCAAGCAAATTTCTCATTGGCCCATGACTCCTTCCTCTCCAAGTACTGTGTAGCGAGCAGTGAGTTTCAAGCACTAATTGACTACATTTAAATTAATTTGTTATGCTCGTATTTATTTTCCAGAAATAAATCAGGGCTCTGTTTTTGCTTTTACAGAAGGATAGGAGATAAGAATCTTATTTTGTAACATTCTTCATAATTACTTATATCGCCCTAGCCGCAATTCAATTAGAATGTTTCTTTCATAAAAAACAGGAAGATCAGGACGCCGTTGATCTTGATTCAGTTCATGCCTCAGAACTGGAAGCGGCTACGTTTGTTTCTCGCTGGAGGGAAATCAAATGACTTCACAGATTTTTAAGGACGGCCGCCAAGACCATCGAGCCGTTAAATTAATTTTCTGCGTTTCCCTGCCACTCCACTCCAGAACGACCTCCGTCACCTTCCCATAGACATCGCCGTTGGTGACCCACTTTGCAGCAGACGTCGCCTTTGCGACCACACCCCCACCCAATGGGGAGATCACCTGTGCGGTGATGATGTAGCTTCATCCCATTGATGCTGTGAGATTTGTAATGCGACGCGATTGGTGGGGGGGAGGGGGAGGGCTTCACAATCATCATGACAACACCAAGCTCTGCCTTCCATGTGTCGACACAACCGTTATCTGCACAGTGCAGAGTTTCGTGTGACCTGTATGTTTCACATTCTCCCTGTTATCTTCTAACCCAATTCCTCCATCATCCATCATCTGAAAAGTTACCCCCCCAAAAATTCAGAGCTCAAAACACATACACTTGCCCCCTTAATATTCCTTCGGAACTTTGACCACTGACCCCTTGCCTGCCCTCGGCCGGTTGCAATCAGCTTTGTCACTGATGCAGCTGAGCTTTGGAGATGAAAGTCCCCTTTTCTTTTCACACAATGAAATAGATAAGCACAATTAATCCATCTGATTGCGTCTGATTGCAGAACCTAGATGGACCAGAGAGAGCCATCTCTGATGTGGTGGAATGTATATTAATGATTCTATCTGTCCAACTTCTAACTGCGAATCCTGGTTGCAGTCGTCGGCACACTTTCCTAGGTAGCACTGGGTGCAGGACTGCAGTGCACACACAAATGTGATGGGGGTGGGGGGGGGGGTACGTGGCTCAGCAAGTCAGGACACTGTGTCTGTGCTCACAAGTTTGCTGGTTCAGTCCTAGGCTAGCTGTTTCATCATTGGGCACCTGAGCAAGGCCCTTAACCTCACATTGTTCCAGGGACACTTTGACCCTCCTTTCTTGAAATATATTGTTTAGGATAAAAGCAATAGCTAATATAAAAAAAGTAGGTAAGCAGTCATACTCTATGGCAATTCAATAATAACAGTTTGCCAGCCAACCGCTTGGAGAACATGCAAATGCACATGGAGCAGGGAAGTGATTTCGACCCCCAGCTCTGCAGGTGTGATCCATCTTGCCACCTTGAATGATCATTTTGTCATGCCAAAATAGTACTTGCAGTAGTAGTAGGTGAGATTATGGCTGCCATGGTTGCAGCCCAACTATGCATTCAGGTCAGGTGACTCTCAGTTGAGGGTTCAGCACCTGGATATTAGACCAGTAGGCTTCCAGCTCCAAGCCCACTCAGCCGCTGAACCCAGCACCGGTAAAAAATAGCATTTGAGTGTAACGCCATAAGCGGCATTAACATCAGTGCCTGCCAGCCACAAATGAGGCTAATTATTCCGCTCTCATTGTGTGGGACCGGCGAAGTGCCCATTAGGAATGTGGATTTATTCCCAGCTAGTGTCAGCGGTACGCTAGCGCGGCACCCGTGAGCCGGCTCTCCGTCGGCGATGAGTCATGCCACCGCGTTGCCCGGGAGACTTGCAGCCGACCGGCATCGTGGTACCTGTAATCAGTGTAATTAGCAGGACAGAGGGTGTGAGTACTGCTGGTGTCTCAGAGTGTGCGCCTCTTTGCTGTTTCACATTGCGGCACCGCTGACCCTCACGACATGAAGATGGGGGGGGGCTCAGATTGCAGGGTGCAGGGGGAGGGGGCACTGCTGAGTTAATCGTTTCCTGGGAAATGCCTCCTGGACCAGACAGCAAGCCCCGATGTCGACTGAAAGGGTAGAGCATCCAAGAGTGAAAGAAAAGGTGCGAGAAGCAAGGCATGACATCGGGGGTGGGGGTGGAGGCGGGGCATAGGATGCAGGGCCCTATTAGGGTGCATCAGTCCTAATCATGCACCTAATTAGCATCAGCCATGACCCGACGTACCTATATAAAGCCAAGGTTAAACTGACTGAAATATATACATCATTAAAATTCATTCGATCAGGGCCTTTTTTTGTATGGCTTTAAAATTCAAGATAGACACACACTAATCACTAAAAGGAGACAGAAACGGTCTCATCACGAGGTTCCCGTACTCTTTCACCATCATGAATAAAGGATCGTGTGGGTTATGGTTTGTTTAAGCGGTGCTTCATCTTAAAACAGAAAATCAAAAGTGAGTCACGCTAATATGCTTGACATTATGAAAGTAATAAATTGTAATGTAAAATTAATTTATAGGTAATGAAAGCAGCACCGGCTGTCAGGCTTGTCCCATATAATGTCCTCAATTTACGCCCAGCCAAGCGTCTGTATGTGCTGCGGGGGGACGAGCACTACGTAAAAATAAAATTAGCTGGCAGATAGCTCCTTTTCCCGGAGCAGCTCACTGGCACTTGGTTGGACTATAAAGTAAAACCTGTTCTGGGTGTTTTTAGAGGATTATTAAAATGGGAACCTGACGACCTTGGGTGCTGTTGCGTCTATCCGTGATGCTGTCTTATGGACATTCCTAGATCTTCCAGGGTTCACCGTGTCGGACAACTGGGCCCCATCAACCAGCTGTTACTTGCTGGGACGTGGCTGGGGGGGTCCTCACTGTCCTGGCTGGTGCACGTTTGAGGTTTGGACCCCAAAGCAAAATGTCTCGTGCAGTTTGGTTCCGCCCCCGGCCCCGCCAACATTACCCCACGCCCTGCCCAAAGCTTCTTATCTAAGGCCAGGCACATGGCTTATCATTCCACCCCCCGCCCCCCACCTCCTCTCCACTTTGTTTTGCTACTCACAAAGTCATAGGTTACTTCACATTCAGTTCCTGCTCTGAAGATGAAAAGTTTGGACCCATCCTGGGGCGATCGATCGAATCTGTGCCTTAACTGCAGGCTGTATCTGCGCTTCGTTGGATCAAAACGAAGAAAACTGGGGCTTTTCTGAAGCCACCCCATCCCACTCACAAAATTTCCTGGCAACACCCTGGCAGCTAGGATCGCGGAGCAGCCCAGCGCTGTTCGGTGTCACACAGCAAAGGAGGCAGGGAGCCATTCTCTCGTTTCCAAGACCTGACAGCTGCATCTCCGCATCCCTGAGGCGACTCCCCAGTAGCCCTGTGGACAAGGTGGGTACTCAACTGGGACTTTGCAATGGTCTGTCCATGTCCGCTGGTCATTTATAGACCCTGAAAATCCTATAAAATCCCAGCGAGTGGGGTCAAAAACCACTGGTTAGAGAGTCTGGTCCCTATGGGGACATCAATTATTCCCCCCCAGTGTGAAGGTGCAGAAAATATACACAACGAATTCTGTTTGCATCATCTGCTAACACGTGTGCACACACACACACACACACACACACACACACACACAAGTTTGCAATTATATCTTTGGGGAGACCATCCATTCATTTATATGGGCATAACCCTATTTACAACCCTGATGACCTTAACCCCTACCCAGCCCTAACCTTAACCATAAGTAGCTAAACAAAATATAAGACTTTTGGCATTTTTAGTTTTTGATTGCAGTCAAACTGAGGGGACATTTCATCCCCAGAATGTAGTGCATACCTGGATCACACACATGGGGGCGGGGGGTGACAGGCTTTTTTTCTGACCCAAATAGATGGGGGTGTCCTGCCTGCAGTCCTAGGCTTAGTTTTGATGTGAGAAATAACAGTGAGCATCCTGTCAGCTGAAAAAGCCCCCCTAAGATATAAGAAGCTTTATCGCCTCCTGCAGACAGCGAGAGGTACATGCATACATACGCAGGTGATATAGGCGATACAGGTGACATGGGCAAGACGTCACCCAAGCTGGCAGCACTCGCTGCTCAGCCGCGCCTTAGTGGGAGATGGGGGCTCTGACCTGAGGGCGGGGGGGGGTGGTTAATGTCGTGTAACCATCCAGCTGGAACACACCACAGGGATTGCTCGCTCACTCAGGGGCTCGGGGGTGATTAATGCTGCTCTGTGTGATGGGGGGGTAGGAGATAGAGAAGAAGAGAGGGTAAGGGGAGGAGAGAGGGAGAGAGAAGGGAAGAGAGAGAAGGAGAGAGGGAGGGAGAAGGAAGGAGAGAGTGAAGGGGAGACCGAGGAGGAGAGAGTGAGATATGGGGGAGGGGAAGGAGATAGAATAGCAAAGAGAGAAGAGGGGATAGTGGAAGATGGGAGGGAGAGAGGGAGAGAAGAGGAGAGCGTAAGAGATGCAAAGCTATGGCGCTGTGGAGGGGCAGCTGTCTGAGGCCACTGCTCCGGACAAAAAGCCTCTCAAAATGTAGAAGAGACCGATTATGACTCAGTCAGGGTTGCTGCAGGGCCGGCATCTGTGTGCTGGGGGGGGTGGGAGCACAAGGGGGTCCCCTGGCCTGGGAGGGGGGCAGGAGCGGAGGTAGACACGTGCTCGCTTGGAGCCAGCTGTAGCCATACTAGAGATTTGGGCTAAAAGAAACAGAGCAGGTCAGAGCAGGAACATGATGAGACAATAGGGGGCAGCACTTTACATTTCAGACCCTGAAGGTTTATGCTTCAAGCCCCAGGATGGGGTCCAGCTGTTGTGCCTTTGAACATTTGAACCTGAATCAGCCCAGTAAGACACTCAGGTTAAGTCTGAAAGTGCAGTGGTGGTGGTGGGGGGGGGGGTGAATTTCATGGCTGTCAGTGCTGCTGATATCCCGCTGGTCTGAAGGGGGTGCCGTGCCGATGTGAAAGCGCTGCTCTCTCGCCATCACATCGGCACTCTGTGGCCTCTCCCTGCCCCCCCTAGGCGAGCCACTGACGACACACACTAATCACCGTCCCTCCCCAGGGAGAAGTGGTGGCCCATTCCTGCCACCGCCAAAGTCATCACCCGCCCTCCCCAGCCTGACGTGAAGCTGGTGACATTCCCTGATAATGTGGAGGGCAGCACAGGTCACATCTTTTTCATTACTGCCAAACAGAAAAGCATAAATTCATCCGTAAAAGGAGTCGCAATGGACGGCCATTTGGACCAGGAAGCAGCTGTCCAGAATTTTCTTCAAAGTCCAATAATCCCACCCCCAACCCGAGATCACCTCCGTAACGCCCCTTGCCGGATCCCTGTGGCGAATTCAGCTTATCCCCAGCAAAATTTAAACATGGGATCATCGTGCACGGGCGCAGCCTTACATAACGATTCATGCTGGCGCCCACAGAGAGAAAACACGGGTCGAAGCAGCTCCCTCGTGCTCAGAATTAGCATTTTCCTGCACTCACACTTACAAATTTCATAGCCGTCATGCGTAACTGGCCTCAGACACCTGCATCTGCCAAACAAATGAACAAAACGTTTAGATACGAAAGAGTGCGTCTCTGGGGGAAATTGCTTGGCGAATACGCGGGCCCCTCAGCTCTGAGTGCCAAATTCACCTGCCTCTGGACACATTTCACGGTCCGGAATGTTCAGCGTCCCCCTGCTGTTTCACCCGATTTGATAAGCACCTCGAAAGGTGTCAGAGAGACACCACAGGAGCGTTCGGGTGACAGACCCTGCTCTGACTTGTAGCAAACTCAGACATGGACGTCTCTGTCGGTGCGATATCGCTGTATGCGTGCAGGCTCCATTTTCCGTAGGAGGGGCGTCTCTGAACAGATCAGCAGGAAGAGGAACAAAACGCCGATTCATACAGATATCATATAAAATAAAAATGAAACATGCAGACGATGCACATGGCTCAGTCTCACTTTCTCTTTCCCTCTCTCTTTTGTTCTCTATTTCATTTCCTCCTTGTCCCACCAGCCTACACCTCCGTGGTCCCCCTCCACTGCTCGAGGGTGTGTCGCTGGGGGAAGCTGGGCACTTCCTGCCCACCCCACAACTCCAGCCTGGCATGGAGACAGGCTCTCACGGGAATGGCAGTGTAACGTGGTAGCAGAGAGCCATGTATGGTGTGCAGGTGGCAGTGAGTGTGTGTGCATATCATGCGTATATATATATATATATATATATATATATACACTAGAAACACATGAGTAAGATCTGCACAAGTATTTAAATACACATACACTACACCCATGTACACAGAAACACATACACTCGTGGAGGCAGATTTACAGTAAAACAGCATTTGATCATCTGCTTCCCTTTCATTTTGAGAGAGCTCCACAGCTGTGCAGGGAACTGGCAGGGGTGTCTGTGTGTGTATGTGTGTGTATGTGTGTATGTGTGTCTGTGTCTTTGTCTGTGTGTGTGTGTTTGTGCCTGTGTATGTTTATGTGTGTGTGTGTGTCTGTGTGTGCGTGTGTGTTTGTGTGTGCCCACAGCAGTGCTCACAGTCACACAGCCCTTTCGTTCAGAGCACAGTGATGATGTAAGCTTCCTCCCTGCGAGACACGTTTGGATAAAATGGCCGCTGCCTCTATTCACGCGGCTGCCTGGCTGTTTTTTACCCACTCCAGCAGTCAGCATGTTCTGAGAATGGCGCCATCTTCTGTCCTCGACTGCTGGGAGGGTCACAGGCACTTGTGTTGCCCTTGCTACCCTTTAAAGGCAGTTAAACCTTCAAGAGAATGAGGGTGTCTGAGTGGAATTGGGATGGCACCCCCTATCGTCAGCAAGGAGACAGAAGGACACGTTGGCTAGCACACAGGGAAACAGACAGGGGGCGCTCAGGAACTGTGAACCCTCACAGAAAAGTGGTGGATGGAGGTGGTATTGAAACACCTCGATTCATTAATCTCACACATCCTCACATTGTTTGAAACCGATATAAATGTGGAAAACAGGTGGATCCTGCCATCCTGAGGGTCTCCCAGATCCAGCATCTCTGTTATGATAGCCCCCATCACCTATTAGAATGTTTAAAACTTCAGACAAGCTCCTTTGCAATGGGCTTCTGGGCTCTGATTAAGCAAGCCCACTCACCTCTCGGTTCCGGAATGCCCACATCCGACTTACTGTCAGCCACATCGATGGGAATCAACTAAGATGAGCCAGCTGAGAATCTCCTTCATTTCCTTCAGAGCGGAGAGAAACAAAGGGCTTTGTCTCGTTACCACCGGGGTATCACCGGAGAGGATGGTCACTGCCATAGGATCCTCTGCCTTCTTGGGGATCGCCTCTTGTCATTTTGACAGGCTGAAATGCATTGCTCAGCGGGAGATCCGTCTTTGCCTGTACTGAGATAATGCTGGTGGTCACAGATTTCTTTGCTTAACTTCTTTTCCTGAGAGAAACAGAAAAATAGCACAGAAACTGTGGCCCTGTTGGTAGCCCCCTGGCCTCGCACCATGGGGGCTGTGGGTTTGAGTCCTGCCCACATTTCCCATGACTGGTTGGTTCCATTCCTCAACTCTGTCTTCCATATTACTCTCACTGTGTGTCCCAGCAATGGCCTCAGGGCGGATGGCTCAGTGGGTTAGGGTCCTGTGCCTGTTATCAGAAAGTCATTGAGTCAAATCCCTGGGTCAGCAGAGTGATGTCACCACTGGGCCCCAGAGTAAGGCCCTTAGCCCCCAACAGCTCCAGAGACTGGCTGAAATAGTGTCTGCTAAATAATGTAAATGTAAATGTTTCCAGTAGAAAACAGCTTACTTTGGATGAACATGCTACAGGGTAGTAGAGTTGGGGGGGGGCTCTCCAGATTCGTGTTCCCACCTATGATGCACTATGCCCCCTAGTGACTCTAGTATGACTTTACAAGCTTGTGCCACACTTCCTTTCAGCTCGGCCCAGGTAGAACAGGCAAAACCCCAGTACTGCAGGAGGGGTACCGCAACTTAAACAACCCAGCAGACCCACAGAGGGCACGTGGTGATGAAGAGCACCCTCCCACGGACCTTCGTAGCATCATTGCACCTTATTACACAGCACAGGATTGGCATCGACGCAGACATACGGAGGACAAAAATAACACACTTTTTCATACTTAAACCAAATGGACATATCGATCATTTGGTGGGGGGGGGGGGTTCAAGCCGGATTTAATAGTCTCTTCCCTTGCTCAGCGAGAGTTCACTGTTTATCTGGGACATATGTTATTGATTTTACCGTCTCCATTTGCCAAACTCTTTCTGAATGAAAAAAAAACAATGATTCTAGACGGCATCTGGGTAATACTAATGAAAATAATGTTTCATCATTTCTTTTTTGCCAAAGAAAATTGGAAATGGATGTCCTGCTGCACGTGGATGATGGGGGTAGAATCGCAAAAGGGTACACACTGCCCTCTGGTGGCTGACGAGGGAAGCATGGGCGGTCGCAAGGTGAACTAATTATGCTTTTGGGGGGATCCCAGCCCGATTTACAGATCTGTCTTTCATTAGTTCAGTGGCTCTAGAACAGGGCTGATACAGATCGGGAAACTCGGGAACAAGTGGGGGCCCACTCCAGAGATGGCCACATGTTAGAAGCCTAACATGTTAGCATTCAGGTAGTCCACTTTATTGCTCACCTGTTCTTTCTGCACAGTATCGGTTGATACACTGCTCCCCACCACCCCACACCCAACCTGGAAACAAGGAAGGTTGGTCTGAAACCTGAACAGAACACCAGGGTGTCATCCGGACCAGCGGGTCAACATTCCAGCCAATCAGGACCCTCACACGCCAACCCCAGGCTCTTAATCACTATTTTAAATGGATTTTATGTCTGTCATTCATCCTGCATGACGAAAAATATCATCCGGCCAGTGCCTGATCAATACGCCCCCACCCATGACTCATATGGCAGTGTCACTAGTGGCAGCCCTACATATATGTGACTCTGGGCGGCGTCACACCTGCTGACTGGCAGCCAAGGCTTCAACTTCGATCTCCCCCCACAACCTGATATACTTGTATATGCCTTGGTGTGTGAACCACCAAGGCATATACAAGAGCAGGGTCACAGGAATACTGGCTGAAAGCTGATTGGCCCCTACCCCTGTTATTCACTGATTCAAAAGACATTGGCTAATGATAAGGTCGGCCCCATAGCATAAATTGTCGCTTCTCTTAAGCCCCCACGGGGTGTCAGTGACTATGTTCTGCAGGTCGCTTACAGCCCAGATAAAAGCACAAAAGCAACAGCAGCCTTTAATTTCGATGACCCTCAGAGCAGCGTAGTGAATTAAAACGAGCCACCGTGCAGCTTTTATCATTTTTGCACACTGACCCATTTGTTGCAGGGACAACCGGGCAACCGGATGATTGTGAATTCCCATTGGCTGGTCCTGAGCCCCTCCATTCCTTGGAGGCCAATGGGGAGAGCCCGTGGGATGCGGGGGGGCAATCACTCGTACTTTCAGGCAGGTGCTTTGATAAAATGGTCTGTCTGCGACCACTGCAGCCTAATCAGATTAATGGAGAATGGGGGGGGGGGGTTTAAAAATTAATCTAACAGACCATCCATCTCTACTTGGTGGCACAAGCCATAGAATGGGAGCAGGCTCTGCTTTTTCCAAAAAAAAAAACCCAGCTTGGCACCAGAGCACGACCTGGCATGGTCCAGAAACCCAAGGCAGGCACTTAAAAACACCTCCCCCTACCTCGCCCAGCCAGCCATACATTGGTTTAGCATCAGTCCCAGAATCCTTTCAAGATCCTTTTATATTTATACAGATGTTGTTTTGCGGGTGCAGTCCAGCTTAAGTGCATTAGGAATTTTCTTTGAATTATGGCTTGCCTAACCATAAGAGACAAAGCAAACAAAAAACTATTTGTAGTAAGACTCAAATGCTCCTTGGTGCACTTTACATTTAAACACCTGGTTATTTCTTTGATAAACAATTTTAAAGAGGCCCTATTATTATTTTCTGGTGTTATCCTTTCCTGTTATATATCTTTATGTGCATGTAAACGAAACAGTCTGCAAAGTCTTAACGCCCCAAGTACACACCCAACTCTCACCACAGAAACTACTCTTCTCTAATGTGTCTAAAATGCCTCGTTGGAATGCCAGCCCTTACTTCTGTGACATGGTGACGTCACCTCGTGACACAATCCTTAATGGCCGACTACCTCCACGGGATGAGGGCATGCTAACGAAACTATTTAAAAGAAAAATAATAAAAAAATATATATATACAAAAATACTTAGCAAATATTAAAGTGAAACCCAAGAAATGGATACAGTCGGTCTGAAGTGTGCGTTCGGGGTCGTGATGACATGCGTCATTCTCCTCCTGGGAGGCTTCCGATGGGAACTTCGCATAAAAACGCCGTATTTTACATGTGAAAGGGGTAAGTGGGGTGCTATGATAAGCAGTACCATGCTTAGAATAATGAATAAAAGGGCTTACAGTAAAGCTGGCCAAGAAGCAGTGGTCCTTATTTGGGGCAGCTGAGGTCTAATTAAGCCGCTCGCCTGTGCGTTTGGAGCGCAAACCTTCATTGCGCTCACCGTGCAGCAATCCACAGAAACTTAACACAGATAAAATAGAGGTTTACTCCAGTGTGTACAGCTCAGTGCTTCAGTAAAGGATGAAAATGTCCCGGTAAGCATTGGAACATCTTTTCCCGGATGGGGGTCTGTTCCCTGCTTTCCCGTAAGGGATGAGGATGCTGGCCAGGGTAGAGATGTTATGATGATTAATGACTGTGAGGCAGCGGGCTGGGCTGCGGAGGGGGGGGCGCTGTTACTTGGTCTGAAAGCTCTAATTGCATCAGGCTGCTGGGTAATGAAGGCAGTGGCTTGACAGCTGCAGGTTCGCGCCACATGAGCCGGAGACGGCGACCTGCTGAGCCCACCCGCCATGCTCAACAAGCAGAAGGGGAACCCTCAGTGCAGTCCTTCAAGGAAGCGGGCCCAGGTGCAGCAGCTGCACCTTCACCTACTCAGGTAAGACATCTTCACCATCCAGGCCTTTGTGAAGATGGCATTCTTCCCATATACTGTATTCTGCTATCTGTATTTAGCAAGGAAATATACTGTATATATAATGTACTATAAATATGCAATGAAATATGTATTTTTCAGTATATATGGGTTGGTTTCCCATCCTCGGTTGTTCCTTGCCTTGCGCACATAGCTCCGGGATAGGCTCCGGACCCCCATGACCCAGCACAAGACAAGAGGTTATGGAAAATAATTGATGGATTGATTATCCAGTGTATATTAAAACCAACAGATGAAAGTTGGCGACTCATGTTTGGGGTCTTGCTGAGATAGCCCTGATCATGAGGTGCCCTGACAACTTCGGGGAGTGTGACCAAGAGGATGGATGATGCAAAGTGGCTCATCGACAGGCGAGGCGGGTTTCTCGAGTTTTTGGGGCAGCATACCCAGTCCTCCCAGTGGACTAAACTTCCCCCGACAGTGTGTCTCCTCCAGCAACACCTCAACCAGCCTCATCCTACTGCTGACCTTCCCTTGCTCTCTGTCTTTTACCTCCATTCTGATGGTTTCAATTGGCATTACTGGAAGCTCTGTTGTATTTCGCACCTACACTTAAATCCTACTCAGTTCTTTGGGCACTATTTATTTGAATAGTTTTACTGCTGTTAAGTTCTAAGCAGTCTTTGCTCAGCTTTTGTTCTTCTCTTGATGCTGGTCACTCATAGGAAGCTCAAACTAGCAGCACTGGTGCCCCTTTGGCTCCTTGACCTGCTTGTGATGTTCTACCTGCCACACTTGTACGACACTATGAGATTTCACTATGAAACATGTGTCACATATTGACACACACTCCCAGGGAGTCTCCTGCCCTCCCTCCTGTGCTTCCTGCAGGAGGCTCCAGGCCTCTGGATAAGTGGTTACAGAAGGCGGATAGATGGATATTGTGACATAATCCTAATGATAATGGTTAACACAACACCATTTCCCATAAACAAAATAAGATCCATACATACTTGCATATAAAAACACTTAACGCAAGAAAATACAATGCAAACAAAAGGCGAAGAGAAAATGGAAAACTCAGGTACTGAAACAGCTTGTTGTAATGAAGATTTTCACAAGGTCGGCGCTCTCCTATCCGCATAAACCAATCCCACATTCTGGCCCTATAGGATGTGAAGCCCCCAGGTAATCCGTTTAATCCCCACCAATAATACGTTTAACCCTCCCCCAGGTAATCTGTTTAACCCCCCCCAATAATCCGTATAACCCTCCCCCAGGTAATCCGTAACTGGCTATTTCATTGCTCGAGACCCAAACATGTTTTAACATCTAAAACATGACTCTGAAAGGGTCGTTGATTTGTCATTTGGGTTGGGTTCTGAACTTGTGTTTGCATGTTCTCTCATTATAAAATCCTTCAAAGGCCAACGGCAACACAGTTTGTGCTGTTCCCTGTGCTCATACCATGCTGTTTCCCACTACTGCTTCCAGAACATTCCATGGACATCTGGTTCTTGGTTGTTTTCTCATTCATCACAATCCTTTACAGCAACATTACCCTCGTGGTGTGAAGCAGCACTTGCCCCCGTACAATAGTGCCCCAGATGCCCTAGATCTAGGACATCCCCACCAACCCTGCCAACCACTGCCAGAGCTTTGCTGTGGGGTAAGAACTGTTTTGGTGCATATTTGGCTAATGGGGGGGGGCACAGCCTCAGATCCCACCCTGTGCTGCGTGAGAGGTTTACATCTTTTCCTCTCTGCAGTGTGGGTCTCTTCTGGCCACTTCAGCAGTCCAAAAACATGAAGTCAAGATGGGTTAGACTAGTTTCTGTATCATCTCTGTGTTTGACCCTCATGCAACCAGATTGGGTCTCGCTTCAGTGTGATGCTCATGCGGTGAAAACAAGCGGCTCTCTGTAAGAAGGCTCTGCATCAGCAGATTAAAGCAGAGAGTTGTGGGATTTGTCATGTTTGTGTTAAAAAGATTATGGAAGAGGCTTAAGAGACTGAAGGTGAAACCGTGGTCCAAACTCACATTGATAGTACTCTTTCCTTTTATGCTTCTAGCAAGTGACATAGAACAGTATAGAGAACCCATTCTTTGATGGACTTTGGCTTTGACCTTCACCACAGTTTACACTTACTGTTAGCGAGCAGGCCCACTCTATTTTTTCTATAATGTTAGTATGCCCAAGGGGGTAGGGCAGCCAGTTGGCCCCCAGAGGTTTTTTTTCCCTGCTTAGGAGTTTTTCGTTCCTCTCCTCTATTGTTATCTGGCATTGTTTCTATCACTTCTTTGTCTTCCATTTTCCCTGTTTTTGTATTATTCTGTATAAACCATGTAGGAATGTGTTACAAACACACTGATGCGTAGCTCCTTGGGGCAACTCTGTTGTGAAAGGCGTGAAATAAAAATGAATTGAATAGAAATTAAAAACCTGTGTTAGGACTCTGTTGCACATTATAGGGAGTAAATGTTGTTTATGACTCTAAGTGCAATTCTACCAGCATGTCTTGTCGAGGATAATCAGTAGGGATTCAGATTAGATACCGTTATCTTCTTATGTCCACCTCAGAATCACACAGAAGGACATTTGCTTGTGTGCACAGAGTAATTCATTCTGCTGCGTACCAGTCCAGTTGCTGCAAGCCCACTAAATCACTAGGAGTAGAACGCACAGGACTTATTTAAATCGCTTAATCTGCCCTGAAAGGCGTGGGAGCGAGCCGTGTTACGCCCGCTTATATTGGATCTATAAGTCGAGCAGGATCGGAGGACACCAACTTCAAGGAACCTCAAGGTTGTATGCTCGAGTCTCAGGAGAGAGGCCAATATCTGAAAAAGCTTCTTAAGCGTATATCCCACACTGTGCTTTTTGGGCGGAGGTTCCTGGAATTGCTGTGAATTGGAAAATTAGTGGTTATAAACAGTGTGATTCACCACCACTCAAGCTATGCATTTGTGTGGGGCTTGTGAGAGCCCCCTGTTGGCCACAAATAATCATCATGCAAAATATTCGATAAACATGTTCCTTATTTAAGAGAAGCGACGTGTTCTGCTAACTAGTTAGCTAGCTACCATCTGACTCTAGCGAGCTAGTTTGTTTTGAAAAGTCTGAGGGAGGCGTAGCAGGCCCCAAGTGGCTTTTTCAGTGGGGGATCAGGAACAAGGAATCTGGCCCTCAGTATGAAATATACAGTAGATACACATATTTATACAGTATACCATTAACAGAAGAATGTCATGCTTGTTGTTCAATTCTGAATTAACAACAGCATGTCTGGGCTCCTTGGTTTTAAGTCACAGTTGTTTGGCTTTCTACTGCAGCTAGGGCCCGGCTGTTTCTAAAAACTGCAGCGTGCTGTACAGACTGCACACAGATCAAATCAAGCAGAGGTGCCCAGTGTGGGTCCTGTCAGGCTGGTATAAGTGCATGTTTGACATCATTTAAGTGTTTGACTGGATTAAGTTCCCAATTTAGCCAAGTCTCATAGCCATAAGAGTGCTGGACTGTGATGCAATACCCCTGAAATACAGTGTCCATGACAGCGACTGCCTGATCCCTCTTCGCACCAGTGAAACCAGTCCACCCAGAAAAAATGCTGTTTAAATTTACACAGCATAACCAGTAAGAATAAATTCTTTAAAAAGCAAAGATGATTGCAATGAGGATAAATGCAGATGAAAACAGGCATTGCCATTGGTTTGTTGTTCCTGGACTCTGACTCAAAAAGTCACTTTAGGAGTCACTAGTATAGTGACTGGTTGTGGCCAACAGGGGGCACCACAACCCTTAGGCCATTCACACTGGTGGTAAACAGTCGCTGGATGAAAAGCGAGAAAACAAATGGTTCTCAAAGAGAGAGCTTTGGATAGGTCTGCAGATCATGGTAATGCTATAGCGTGGCGTGTAGCAGAAGTCCAGCCGCCCCCTGCACAGACCAGATGGGAGAGGAGAGGACCCACAGGAGTGCGGATAGGGAGGACAAGGATCCATCCAAAAATAATGTTGGTTTTTTATTTGAAGTTGCCACCTTGAAAGGAAAGAGGTAGCAGCAGCATAGGCAGGATGGATGGACCATTAGCCATCGTGATCCGTGCCAAGGCATATAACACTGATGTATGGGGGGGGGGGTATCATGTAACAGCCACACAGGATTGTTTGTCCTGTGATAAGGACTGCGGTGGACTTTGGGGAGACCCACTACGTAGGGAAGGCTGCGCTGGCAGGTTCCAAATAGCACCACCAAAGGGAGCTCACACAATGCATGACGATATCAGTTAATCTGTATTAATGGTAGTGCTTTGCACACTACAGCGGATAGATCACATCAAAAAATCTGAAACCTCCTAGTTCTAAAAGGCAGTAAACCATGCTTGTAAGTCCAGCTGTTGGAAATAATCGAATTTTTTTTTTTTTAAATAATTTCCACCCTGGGGACCAATACAATGTACACACCAATGCCCTATGCTAAAGAAGAGCGAAACATGCCAGTAAATATTTTTTTCATCTTTTCAGTCTGGAGTTGCCCTCTCCATCTTCACACCCTCTAGTGGTGAACAGGTATATCAACAGCCGACTGAGGGGCCTGATAAAGCAACTGAGGGATCGGACTCGGTCATCAAACTGTATGCCTCGTCCCCGGAGCACAGCCGCCCCCATCAGTAGGTCTGACTCCTCTGTCGTGGAATTGGCTGATATGGGCATGATGTGGAGGAACTGATCCTGGGGGGGGGGGAAGGTTTGGGGAGGCCTTGTTCTTAATGAATCCAGTTGAAATTCAGCATACATGAGTCTGTTTTCCTCACGGGCACTGGGGGTCCATGTGCCGCAGCACCAGCTTGGAGAAAGCGGCACGTCCCGGAGAAAGACGAGGAAGAGGAGGAGGGAGGGGATGAAGGGGCGACCGCCAAGGAGGGGGAGGTTAAAGTTGAGGAAGCAAGAAGGGAGGCGGATGGGAAGATGAACGAGGAGGACAGGGAGGGCGGCCCGGGGGACAGAGCGGCAGGCCCAGCCCCCCCTCTCTCAGGCACCTTCTGTCTGCTCAGGCCGCTGGAGGAGAAGCTGGACGCATGGCTGGGCGAGACCCTGGATCCCTTTACAGGTGAGGGCCAGAACCACCCGTAACCATAGCAACCCCCCCCCCACACACACACACACACAATGAAGAACAAAATCTGAACAATATATCATTGCAGTGTCTCACTGTGCGTGTGGTATGCAGTGCAACACCTGTGTGCTTGCTGGAGATTCTGCATCACTTTGATACGTAGCTCCAAAATTGATACTAGCGATGAGTTAGCACTCAAACGTCTGAATGTTCAAGAACGTATATATAATCTGAAAAAAAAATCTCTAAATCAAATAATTAATGAGCTCATAAATATTATTTAGCGGCAATATAACTAATTGTGATTTGCCTGTTCTTTAATAATTTTGTCTGCGTTAGCCAATCATACTGACATAACGTCTGCGATTAATTTGTCGTTTTGTGGTGTGGTGTGGTTAATAGAATATTATTTGAATAATGGCTGGAGAAATTTGACCAGTAATTCTGCCTGAAACGCCCCTCCATACTAGACACCTGAACAGGACATTTCTTGTTTGCACTGGCTGCTCTTTCACTCCACCTGGACAATCATTCTCACTGTACTTCCTGTCTGCGCCTCATGTTACACTCCTCTTCATGCATATTTTGAACAGAACAATTTATGTAAAATGTTTTTTAAAATTTGGATATATTTAATTTGTGCCCGGTTAGATGCTACCTGGCTCTGTACCTGCACTCTGCACAATGACAATACTATAGTTGGGAACTAGTTATTTAGGTCCTTTCAGGTCTTTTTACACATTGTCATGGTAATATATTGTTTTTAATTTAAAGGGAGTAACTTTGATGAGTTAATGCAGTCTTGGGCACATCTAACAGCCATCCCACACCCTCCTCTCAAGCCAGACCGCAGGTATCTCTCCTGGCTCGGCATTGTGACACTCGCCTTTGGCTACAACATCTGGCTCATCCCAGCGCGTGCGGCCTTCCGGTGCCATACTGAGTGCAGCGCCCCCTTGTGGTTCTGCTGCGACCTGCTCGCCGACACCGTGTATGTCGTTGACATGCTTTTCATCCAGCCCCGGCTGCAGTTCGTCAAAGGCGGCGACGTCATCGTGAGCTTCGCCCTGTGACCGCATGTAGAGCTATCACTTTAAGCTTGGTATTTATTACTCTGGACACATGGAGAACATGAAAACTCCACAGGCACACAGCAGAGGTGCCATTTAAACCCCCAGCCCTGAAGGTGTCAGGCAACATCGCCACCTACTGAGCTACCATGCTGCTTGAAAGCAGACTAATTCAGTTATTGTTTTTCATATTAAATGTACTGTGTATTCCATGGGGTCCACTAGGCTCTACCAGCCAGGACCAAAGTGCTCAGTGTTCTAGATAGTGTCCTGTAGGTTCTGTTTAGGGTCCAGTATCTTCCGACCACCAGAACTTTGAAAGACAGTTGTGAGAACAGAGCTGGATTCATGGGCAGAAACAGGAGGCTCCGGATCGTGGGAAGTTGTCAGACTGGCAAGAAGTCAGTTAATCAGGGAGACTAGGACATGGGATGTCTGGGGATAGACAAGGGGAGCAGGGGAATAGACTGGGGATGGTCCCTCCAGGGAACAGGTGAGGAACATTAGTCAGGAAACGGGTGAAGAACAGGAGTCTGGAAACAGGCAAAGAGATGATAATGTTTTAACCCAAATGTTGGCCCTCATCACTGGGCTCTGCTTAAACAGAGTCCCTCCTAAGCTTAATTAGTGGATGTGTCCTGGTTTTGGAGCAGAAGTAGGTTTTGTTGGTCTCCCATAACAAAGTGATATTTTTACACTCTGATTGACTGGTGTCAGGAGGAGAAGCACGTTTACGGTTTTGTAGCAATCTCATTTCACAATGGTCTGGGATGCCCTGGAGATAAAGTGAGACTTTTCTGAGATCTGTTTTTCAGATTAATTTGGGGTTTGAAAGGTGTGAGTGCTGGCCGTTGATCTCCCAGTTTTGTTTATGGGAGAGATAGAAATGAGAATCTTATATCTCACTGGGAAATTCTCCTCACCTCCAGGAATTTGCTTCAAAATGTATAACTCTCAAAAGACCCCATATGATGAGAAAAATATTGGAAACACGTTTTCCCTTGCCCGGACGTGGGTCACCGGGCCCCCCCCCTGGAGCTAGGCCTGGGGCTGGGGCTCGATGGCGAGCGCCTGGTGGCCAGGCCTATACCTATGGGGTCTGGTCGGGCACAGCCCGAACAAGGCACGTGGGTCCCCCTTCCAATGGGCTCACCACCCGTAGGAGGGGCCATAGGGGTCGGGTGCATTGTGAGCTGGGCAGTGGCTGAAGGCGGGGACCTTGGCGGTCCGATCCTCGGCTGCAGAAGCTAGCTCTTGGGACATGGAATGTCACCTCTCTGATGGGGAAGGAGCCTGAGCTGGTGTGCGAGGTTGAGAAATTCCGGCTAGACATAGTCGGGCTCACCTTGACGCACGGCTTAGGCTCCTTCCCCATCCCTCCTTGAAGGTGGTTGGACCTTTTTCCACTCTGGAGTTGCCTGTGGGGAGAGGCGCCGAGCGGGGGTGGGCATACTTATTGCCCCCTGGCTGGGCGCCTGCACATTGGGGTTTACCGCGGTGGACAAGAGGGTAGCCTCCCTTCGCCTTCGGGTGGGGGGACGGGTTCTGACTGTTGTGTGCGCATATGCGCTGAGCGGCAGTTCAGAGTACCCACCCTTTTTAGAGTCTCTGGAAGGGGTGTTGGAGAGCACTCCTTCTGGGGACTCTCTTGTTCTACTAGGGAAATTCAATGCTCACGTGGGCAATGACAGTGAGACCTGGAGTGGCGTGATTGGGAGGAACGGCCCCCCCCATCTGAACCCGAGTGGTGTTCTG